GGGGGGGGGGGTGGGGGGGGGGGGGGGTGTATGGTGGTCCTCCTTCAGCTTCCTTCACGGGGAAACGATATTTCAAAGTTCGATTTGCGAACGGACGCCAGGGCCATTTCTTCCCTTTTTTTCGCCTTACCATCGGCGGAGGGGGACGAGCGATGCTAATGCGACCGGTCGACGCGCGCATTGCAACCGACGTGCGAAATCTCAAAGAATTTTTGCGTCGACGTAGCCAAATGTTGAAAAAATACGAGTTTTGTTTATTAGGCTCGAGTAGGGGGAAAATGGGGGAGGAGGCGAAAAGCTTCTTTCGCCAAATTAACGACAACTCCCTTGAAAAATACAGTTCTATTATTTATTTTTGTAACTCGACGCGTCGACTGACGACGAAGAGGGGCGCGAGGGGAGATCGGCCGTTTCACCTTTCGATTCCCTTGGAAAGAAACTTTATATTAGAAATTTTTAATCCTTCTGGCTAGAGATTATACAAACTCGTATTTCGGCATGATGAATGTTTTCTGACCTGTGCTCCTTATTGGGATATTAGTCATTGAAAAAAAAAGCCCATACAAAGTCATTATAATTTATCCCCTCCAACGATAATATTGCTTGGCTGTCCTAATTTATTTCTAAAACTAAATGATTTTCCTAACAATTTTACATCTTGTAATTCAATGCCATTAAAGAGATTTTATAATATTATTTCTTTATTAAACAATTTTGTCGCATGTGCATGTTTATGAATAATAATAAAAGCTGGTCCAAATTAATTTTAGCTTATTGTCATATTTTTATGATCATTATTTAATTTCTTAGACCGCGCGACGCGAGCTTAACTTTATCTTCTATTACATCATTTATCAATAATAAGAATCTTCAGTTAAATACAAAATGGCTATGATAACAAATTATAAACGTCTGTATAATTTTTTTAAGAGATTGCATATAAATACCTTTAAAATGTACCATAAATCTACTTATGCTAATAACATATTACGATAATATGAATAAATATTTTTTGCTTATATGTAATAGCTATTTTTGTCGATAATTAGCTCATTCCTGCGATCTGGCAATATTTTTAATCAATCCATGTTTGGTATTTATCGTAGGACTATCTATCGTAGGACGTTTAACAGATATCCTTTGTATAATAATACATTAATAATAAAAAATAAAGTAATAAATATGTTACACATACGAACGAATCCTGCACTGGACGCTTAAAATTGAAATAAAGAACAGTTTATTCGTTATTGAATATATTATTACCTGACATTTATTCCTTTAAATTGTACCACATTTATACATCAAATAATCATAAATTTGTATTTTAATACAAAATAGAAGGTCTTTATTAGTATAGAATATTTTATTTAATATCGATGAGGCTTATTGAATGGAAAGGTTTTTCATACATTACCGATGAACTTTTGAATTAAAATCAAATGATAAAGACAAGAACAATTCTTATTAATGTATTATTTGCGTCAACAAATTTACTCTTAAATAAATTTTGAAAAAGGTGCTTACCAAACAAAATAATTTAATCAATTTAAAAATCAAACTCCAGTCACATAAATAAACCATACACCAATAAGCCATATACATATAATTCTTTGCAAAAACATTCTACATTTTAATCGATATTTATCAGTAATTTTTATTCCAGATAATTACTGAAATAAGGTCATTTATCCCATAAAAGAAGTTATCAATGAAAGATCTAACTACCCTATCGAGCTAATAGTATTTTTTTAATGACATTTTATACCCACAAGCGTATAAATACTCAAAGTGTATGGAAATTACAGTGTCAATTAACATTTGTAACAGTATTTGTTTAAAGACTGACTTATATTTGAATATGAACGGCGCAACAGCAATGAGGTCGAAGTATGAAGTTTGGTTTTTTTTTTTCCGTGAGATTTGTGATAGCACGAGCATTTGAATAATATTAATTCAAAGAATTTCTGCATCCACGAAACGTCAATTTTACATACGCGTAGATATAATTGCGTTTTATCTATACAGACTCGCAAATGTAGTTCGTAGTGAGCGACGATGATGTGTGCTCGCAATGATAAATAAATTTTTACGATTGTGCAGCAAGATCAAGCATATCGTGCAATCAATGATCAATGTTAACTAGCGCCGTATATAAGGTATTCAAACTTTTACATTTGCATATGTAATAATATTGTAGATATTTTTTTGTAGAGACGATGGAACGTCGGTGGTAAATTACTCGCCAATTCCCGTTACATAACAATAACAATACAGTAGTTTGTTATTGTTTCATTGAGTGCACCAGCGGTGTGCATAATAAATACGTATACGTGTAAGCTCGGAGAGGTTGAAACACTGCAAACATGTAGATAATACCTTAAAGGAGCTGGAGTTTTCAATCGAGTAATTTTATACCTAACGCTCATTGCTTATTAATTTTTTTGCAAACTATCGCAAAACAATGTGGAAATTGTCGGTAGTCTCGTCGCAGCCTCGGGTTCTTTCATTAAATACGGCTAAATTTTCATCTATGCATTCCAATTCGACAGCAAAGAAATTTTCCTTGAATAATGCACGACAATGCGTCACAGTCTACTTAAATATCATTATTACTGATTATGGAAGCGCGAGAGTGATGTCCAACGATCCATCTCACCTTGTTGAGAACGCAATTCCAACCTTACCACCTTGAGCACACCAGCTAAATAAATGTATTTACACTTCAATTAGGTTGAACGCGCCGTGACTGTTGAAGACAATACGCATGACACAACGAATCTCGAATAATTAAATATAGTTGCCAAATACGATGAATCGTGGAAAAGCCAATTAATCCTTCTGCTCCTGGATTCAATCGCTCGCCGCCACTTTCCCCTTCCCATCTTGCAAAAAACTAATCAACGAACGAGGCGTGAAAACGGCCGGCTTTAATCGCGCGAACCGACGCATCCTCGGCCTCGCGATTTCTTTTCACTCGTCAGGGCAGCGGCTCTTCCGCCATTAAATACGGCCCGACAAAAAGCCCTCGGGCTAGGGCTCCCGGTTGCGTATCCCTAATTAAAGCGCCTCGTCGGAGCTTCGTATGCGTGCTCACGCGATACCGAGGAACCCCGTACAGACAGACAGTGGCCCTGATCTTACACAATTATCAATCTCGGAGGCCAATAGTGTCCTCGAGGTGGCGCGAAGCCCTTTTCATTTGCCTCATAACGACGATTCATCCATCCGTTCGCAAGGGCGTCGTTGGCCCCTGCCAACTAAAACTTCTTATCAAAAATCTCCCGATAACCCCTCCCTCCCTCCAGCCCGCAAACGGTAATAATTAGGGCTTGAGGAAGCCGTAATAAGGTTCAGCGCACCAGACACGACGACGTAACGATCAATCGGGTAAAATGTGTGTACGCAACGCACGCTAATGCCAAGTGCCTTTTTCAACATTTGAAAATGTCGACTACGATGGAGCTTCAATTTTTCTAACTCAATCGGTCTTTACGACCATTATAGCGTTTCAATTGTCGCGTTGCGCAATCGGCTAACACATTTTATATTATTTCATAATAAGGGAGCTCGCAATTATTACGACTCGGACATTACATTATTACTTGGATAATCGCAGTAGTATATTATCCGAAGGACAAGTGCTTCTTTCAGTTTGTCAACTTGTAAATTGACGACATGAGGCCGATATAATATATTAATGATCGCTTGATACTTTCGATGTTTTATTCGTCCTATTAAATAGGCAGTAAATTGTTTTTCTCGGCTGTTTCGAATTCAGCTAGAAATTGGCTGGCTCTTCTCCGATAATCTCGCGTATTATAGTCAGCAAACAAATTCAATACTGCCGAGATTCTAATTATATTATAATGACACGATTATTATTAAAACTTCAATCGTTCCTATCGCTGACAAAAAAAAAAAAAAAAAAAAAAAAAAAAAAAAAAAAATCTTCAAAAATGAAAAATTTATTGTTTGACTTGATTAAGTATGTGTGGCTCTATTAACATCGGCTCTCCTCCAAGTTCAAAAATACTACAATACGTTATTTATGATCGTAATATTTTTAAAAGAACATACTTATCATCTAATTTTTATAAGATAATATTTTATAATAATTACGATGGCAAGAACAATGGTAGAAATAACAAAAACTAGTTCAACTAGCCGTTCGTCTATTTATATTAACAACGCGCGCGTAAACAACAGCTTCTTTACAATACAAATTCATTGTAAAAACAGATTATTATAATAATTCAATTTTAATAAATGGCCTTTAATTTTCTTTCTTCCGCCTTCCTTTCACACTCTCTTGCTCGCCACTTTATATCTGTCTCAATGTGTACGCGCGCGCACTCACGTACTCCCAGACAAAGTTTTACGTATTGTTATCATAGTGATTTTGATATTGGGAGATTTTCGTTAATATGTGCGTGTGTGTGTGCGCGCGCGTGCGCGTGCGCGTGTGTGAAATCTATATTTTCAATTTACATATGAATAATTGCTAATTTTTATTATCTCCATGATTTTGATGATGAAATATTACAAATAAATTATAGAAAATTCACTTCAACAGCATCAAGTTATTTTAAAGAATAATGTATTTATATTCAGAATCATAATTCACTCATCGTAATCTCCATGTTATTATGAAGTATGATTAAAATTATTTGAAATTAATGAATCTGTGCAAATTACCATTAAATATTATCAACTTCACAAAGCATCACGATTGCCAATTTAACAACCTCTTCGTTTTTTTTTCTTTTTATTTATTTATTTATTTATTTCTTTTAATTTTTTTATTTTTTTTCAATGCTATGATTATATAAATAAGGACAGTAAATTAATACGTAAACTCAAAAGTTTACTTCATGAAAAATCACTACTCTAAGCTTGATATATATTAACTAGCTTGAAGTACATAGTGAGGGATTTTAGGACAACTATTCATCAAGATTATTCGATTATTAATTTGTATTTTGATCGTTCATTAGCATTTTCTGTCGCTTGCTTTATTGCAATGTCTATGAGATTATCTGAATTAAATTTAGTTTTGTTTCATTAGTAATATTCAAGCATAGTTGAATATAAAAAACATTCACAAACGTTTACAATCTGTAAGCATTCTGCATTTATAAAGTCGAACTTAATCATGCAATAAGATAAATATATTTTGCACATTCCTTTGCGTTCAATTTTTAACCGATAAATATCAAATATTTATTTTTAGCATACATTACATTTATTTTTTATCTTAAATATAATGTAAAAGTCTTCAACGCATAACAATTTTATAAAAATATGTCATTATTATTAGTAATGTCGTGATAGCAGTAGCTTAGTATTAGTATTAGTAGTGGTAGTAGTGGTATTAGTGGTAGTAGTGGTAGTAGTGGTATTAGTGCTAGTAGCGGTAGTAGTTGTAATAGTAGTATTAGTAGTGGTAGTAGTGGTATTAGTGGTAGTAGTGGTAGTAGTTGTAATAGTAGTAATAGTAGTAGTAGTAGTAGTAATAGTTGTTGCTTATGGAATTATTTGTTTTATTGTATTATTAGTATATTGTTATAATTTTTTTTTTTTTGCTAATCACTATATGTATAAATCAAAATTAATTGAAAAACAAATTCTTTGGAATTAGCCAATGAATTACTTTATTTTTGCTTCATTTTCTCGCATACAAAATTTTGGTATCTATAAATCAATCTCCGCCACAGTTTTCACCAAAGATCGTAATACAAACAAAATTTTATCATCTAACATAAATATTTTTTTTCTTAGCCTTACTGCTTTACTAAATTACGATAAACGCTTTTTTTACGTAATTAAGAAGTTTTCCCAAAAATCGCGCCGAAAATTAAATGAAACTTATTAATTATTCAATTGAAACGTGTAATACGTTTAAATCACTGAGTGAAACAAAAAAAAAAACCTTGATTCATTCGCATTTATTATTATTATTATTATTATTATTATTATTATTATTATTAATTGCCGTTTAATTTAATTACAAATACAATAGCAAGTATTAAACATGAGATATGCAAGATTATTATCCCCATAAAAGATTGAATAACCTTTATTTCTTTCATACGCAATCTGCAAAGAAAAAAAAAAAAAAAAAAAAAGAAAAGGAAAAACAAAAAGAAAAAAGTAAGAACGCGTAAATCGCATAGCACGCTCGACTTAGTTAGCAATGACAATTAAACGAGACGAATTATCGATCAATGTCGCCTACGCGCTCGTCCAATAATATCCCAATAATAAGTCCCAATTTACTCTCCCATGAAAATGCACCCAATTTTATCGATTAGCTGGCGCGAATTCGGCTTCCGATGATATTTTGTCCCGTGTCTCCCAGGCTTCGCCTTACCAAACAAAACCGTCGTGGCAACAAATACTTGTAACGAAGAAAGCGAGGTCAAGGCGGTCCTTCGACGATAACCCATCTCTAAAAATACGATGAAAGGCAAATCCTCCCGGGCAAATGGCGCACGTAATCCCGAGGCGATTGTAGCACGACGCGCGCTTATTTATCGCATAATTTACTATGTCAATGTCGGCGGCAATCACTCGCGTTTACGCAGTGCAACATTCCCGGGTATGAGTCCATTCAAAAGTTATGCGCTGCATCATGAAAATGTCCGCGCCTGCAGTCCTTGATAATGCAAGGAATCGAGTGCGGTACGCCGTCGGGTGCTGTCGCCTGCCAATAATCGACCATCCCTGTCGATCCTCCGCGAACGCTATCCGTTTTGATAAACAAACTGCCCAATGGGAAATCAGCCTCATCCGCCTCGCACATTAAGCCAGTCGTCGATTGAAATTTCGCGCAACCGAATTGCATTGAATTGCGGTAAATGCCCTCATTAAGGCACAATTAAAAATAGCGTGAGCGGAGCCAGACACTTTTCCAAGAAAGATGGCACGTAGCTGGGGCCGAAAGCTGCCAGCGCCGATCATTTTCCCTGCGGCCCGTCTGCTGCTGGCCTAGCCGAGTGTCTCCTCTCTCGTTGGGTAATTCTTTTGGATTCCCTTTCCCTGTTCGTATACACGAGATGATGACGCGTCGGCTTAAGGGGCGGGAGGTTGGAGGGGGGGGGGGGGGGGGGGGGGGGGGGGGGGGGGGGGGGGGGGGGGGGGGGGGGGGGGGGGGGGGGGGGGGGGGAGGAGGAGGAGGAGAGGAGAAGCTGGAACGATATCTAATTCTATTAGGCCGAAATTAAATTTCACCGTAGGATTAAATTTGATTAGTCTTTAAAGCGACGATGCTACGCATTCTATATTGCATTCGTTAAAGGAATGAGCGGGCTGTGGGTGCGGGGGGGGGGAAGGGAGATGGGAGAGAGAGAGAGAGAGAGAGAGAGAGAGAGAGAGAGAGAGAGAGCGGGAGGGAGAGAGGGGGGAGGGAGAGAGGGGGGAGGGAGAGAGAGAGAGAGAGAGAGCGAGTGATATGAGGATGATGAAGATGGCGTTGGAGGGGAGGAGGAAGCGGGCGTTTTGCATGCATACGATATTCCTGGAACGGGTGCTTAAATTTAAAATAGCTACTTGGCTCGTCCGATTGCACGCCAAAGAGATGAATTTTTTCTTTAATTTTTCCAACTGCGCGCTTATTCTAAAAATGCGCGCATCGCCAACCTTTTATTTATCCGTTTAGTATTGATTTTATAAAGCTGGTGTAGGTAAACTTTG